TGCAAGCTGAAGCAGGGAACTGCTAAGGCAGCTGCACCCGATACAACCATCACAAAACAAGAGACCCGAGAACTAGAAAGGCGAGGCTCACCACCCATTTATCCCTCCGCCTTTCAACCAGCCCCACATGATTATTGGCCAGGCTGGCACAATTAACTAACTCACGCCCCAAAGCATCAGACTGTTTCCATAAGTACCATCATTGTGATCCTTTTGTCTCTAAGTCTTGCCAGTCTCGACCAGGTGGTCTCCCACGTCACAGTGAGGGAGGAACAAGGAACCTGAAAAGAGTCTGGTGGCAACTGTCCATGGCCCCCTCCCCCTTCCTCTCACTGTGGCCCCTGGCTCGGAGAACTGCAGGCCCCCGGGGCGTTTCCTGACGGGAGGCTGCTGCGGTGGGCGAGGGGCACAGGGGGTGTCAACACCAGGAGAGTAAAGCTGATGGCCACGCCCTCTGCCCATTCCGTAGCTCCGTTTGGGAAAGTGTGGCCCAAGAGAAAGCGCTCATTTTTATGACGGAAGCATAATTTGGTGGTGCCGACTACCTGGCTAGCTCTGTCGCCTTTTCCTAAAGTAAGAGCTTGAGGGAAAATGCATCTCTTGAATTTCGAGGGAGAGGAACCAAACCACCCTTCTTAGCTTTCTACTGACTCAGGGGTGGGGAAGGGAGAAATGCCTGTTTCTTCTAAGGAGCTGGGTGCAGTGTGGGGAGAGGGATGTGGTGTAGAGAGGCAGAGATGACACTGGAAATGAGTGGCTGCCTTGATGGAAACGTTGTGCTGTGGACAGGTCCCCCACCGGCCAGCAGGGTCGCTGACTGGATGCAGAGTGGAGCCAGCTCAGCCAGCATCACAGGCAGGAGAAACCAAGCTAAACCAGAGGGAAAACAAAAGCATTAAATAACCAAAAACAAAAACGTGCAACCCCACCAGTCTGGGAGTCTGGCTATTCTGCACCTGCAGCCTTGCCTACAGCCCACCCCAGCCCCACGCCTACCAGCCAGCCTCCCACCCTGAAGAGGAGAAACCCTACAGCCCAGTATGGCAAGTGATTTATCCCCGCCTGACAACTGAGATCATCCAGCATCCCAGGCCCGGGAGTTAATGGATGGCTTAGCCCCTGCCCGGCAGCTGGCGGCAGGCCCTTGGGAGACCAGCGCCTTTGTCTGCGGGAGGTCAGAGAAAAGGCTGGTCACTGCCCCTCTTTTTGCCGTTGTCATAATCATATTCCGCAGTGGAGCATTAAGGGCATAAAGCAGATTTGTAATTAACCTCGCCTGGCCTGCCCCTGTGATGTCCTGGAAGGGACGGAGGGAGACCTGGGGCTTATCTGGAAATTAAACTTCCCTTTGGTAAAAGCATTATCCTCGAGCTTGCTTGAGGGTAGGATGTGTGGGCTGAGCTTTTGTTCTTTTTTTGTTTCTTGTTTTGTCCTTTTCGAACACTAGCCATAGCAACAAAGGTGAAGCAAAAGGCCCGTCATCCCCGCTCCCCGAACCATGGGCCTCAGAGGGTGCCTGGCCACCCCAGACCATCTCACCTGTTCCAGGTGGTTTAGCCAGTCTTCCTCGAGTACTTGACAGAGGTTTTCTGGGCTTGACAATGGCTAACATCCCTAAGAGGAATCCTTAAGCGGACCAGTGGGTGCTCTGAGGCTAGTGGCCCGGCTATCAGGAAGGCTGTCACCCCTGCCGCCACCTCCCCCAGGCCCAGTGTCATGTGGCCATACAGCACACGCCATACTGCTTATTCTGGACCCAGGTGCCCTTTCCGTACCTGGTAAGGTAAGGTTCATGCATGTCTCCACCTTACACAATGCAGAAAGGTTAGGCAAGTTGCTGTGCACCACAGCGCTGGTACGTGGGAGAAGAACAGGACTGTCTCATCTTACAGAAAACCAGAGGATCCGGTCACCTCACAGGCCTCCCAACAGAGGTTGCGTTAGTCTGGGGGGTGGGCCAGTGGTTGCGATTCAGTGGATTATCAGACTTCTCTGCAGTGCATATAAAAGCAGAGTGGTGGTGGACCCCAACCCAGGACTTTTTAATTCCAAAGGTCGAGGACATGGGGGAGACATGAGAACATGTGTTTCTAGCAGGTTCCAGGTGATGCTTGCCTAGGGACCACACTTTGAGAAGAGAGCCTTTGGGCCCATCGGCTGGATGAAATTATGCCAAAATACTCCAATAACTCGGCAGGCACGGGAGTCGGCAAACTGTCGCTTTTAGCGCCCTGGGAACATTGCGATTACTTCATTAAAAAATGAAGCGAAACAAAAGATACTCCGAATGTCAGATGTCCTTCAAAACAGTTGGAAGACTGTTACCAAGTGCCATCCAGTTGGTAAAGATGTTAGTTTTATCCTCTGACTTCTTGCCTTATGTTTGAGATTTTTCCAATTGAATTCTCATGGAGTGAAAGGCAAGGGCGCTGCACCCTCACTGGGGCGCCTCTCCCACCTGCCCGCTGCCGCACTCTCTGGGAGAGACGGTGGTTCCCCACAGTCTGAGCACATGGTGTCTCAGAGCTCAGCTGCGTGAGGGGAGCGTGCATGGGCCACTGCTCCGGTTTGTTTTTGTTTTGCGGCTCACTTGTCTGCAGGACACTAAATGCCACCCCTCCCCTGTCGTGGGAACAGCCTGGCAGGCGAGCTCCTGGAGCGGGACTTCAGTGGCTTTTGTGTGACGCTGTTGACTACAAAGCTGTTGCTGCCAGGCCTCCCTTGAAGATGGCTGAGATGATGAATGAGGGCGCCCCGGGGCACTGTTGGCTGCAAGGTGTGCTGCTAACCACAAGGTCAGGGGATAGAACCCACCAGCTGCTCTGAAGGAGAAGGTGAGGCTGTCTGCTCCTGACCTAGATTTATAACGTCTTAGAAGCACAGAAGAGGCAGTTCTACTGTGTCCTATAGGATTGCTATGGAAATCGGTGGCAGTGAGTTTTTGGAGACGATGAGGGAGGTCCCTGTCCAGCGGCAGGTCTCATCCCACCTGCACGCCTGCCTCACTCCTGGTACTGTTTGCTCTGTCCTGTTTCTTTTGAGCGGTAGGAGTTCATTATGAAATGGCACCTAAAGTCTGCCAAGTGGAGGACATTTTTCTTCTTTTGCGAAAAAATAATCATGCCTGTGGTCATGCTCCTCACTGCCCCCACGGCTCCCAGCCTGGCCCAGACCCTACCCATTCTCTCCAGCTGTCGCAGCAGCCTCCCCAACAGGTCTGCCCACCCCACCCCGCCCCGCCGGCATCTCTCCTCAGTACAGCGGCCAGAACTGCCGAACTGGGAGGCAGATCATGTTGCTGCTGCTCAAGAAAGCCCTCCAGTGGAGAAAAGGTCAAAGCTGTGAAAGATTTTGTCTTCCTTGGATCCATAATCCAGACTCAGAAGCAGCAGTCAAGAGGTCAGAAGACACATTGCACTGGTAAAATCTGCTGCACAAGACCTCTTTATTGAGTATTGGAAAGCCGAGGTGTCACTTTGAGGAGTGAGGTGTGCCTGACCCAAGCCATGGTATGTTCAGTGGCCTCGTGAGCATGTGAAACTTGGACAGTGAATCAGGAAGACTGTAGAAGAATCGGTGCATTTGAACTGCGGTGCTGGAGAAGAATACTGAAAGGGCCATGGACTGCTAACAGGACAAACAAATCCAGCCAGAGTGTTCCTTAGAGGCAAAAATGGCAAGACTTCGTCGTACATACTTTGGACAGGTTTTCAGGAGACCAGTCCCTGGAGAAGGACATCACGCTTGGTCAGGTAGAGGGGCAGTGAAGAAGAGGAAGCCCCTCAACCAGATGGACTGACACAGTGGCTGCAATGGTGGGCTCAGGCACAGGAACCATGGTGAGACTGGCACAGGACCAGGCAGTGTTTGGTTCTGTTGTGCACAGGGGCACTATGGGTCAGAACCACCTCGGTAACGCCCAGCAACAGTGGCTTCCATTCTAACTCCAGAGAAAGAGATGCATAACTTGTATCATGTGACGTGATCCCCTGCCCCATCTCTCTGGCCTCTACTTCTGCCATTTCCTCTGGCTGGATCACTCTTCCTCCAAATAGCCCCAGAGCCCCCATCCTCCCCTCCTTCGGCTCTACTCCAAGGCCAGAACTGTCGAGAGAATTCTCTGATTGTGTTCATACCTTGATGGTGGCCCTGCGCCCCCCCTCTGAAACCATCTCAGACCACCATGGGCCCAGAATTCAGTCTGGCAGCCCCTGCCACTCTTAAACGGGCTGCCAAGTGCACCCAGGACTCTGGCAGACACTATATTCAGCATAAGGTGCAGGAGGAGGGGTCACGGAGGCCTGAGACACCTTGCTTTTTAACTTATTATCACAGTAGTCTTACATTTGTGTCCTCCCTGGTACAAAATTCCAGCAACACAGCTAAACAGAGCAAAGCATTACCTTCACTACCACTCCTTCCAGCTCTGCCCCCAGAGAGGACTTGCTGCCAATGGCTTCAGGGGGGCATGCAGCATGTGTGTACTCTTGTGCATGAGAATGCATACACACAAGCACACAAACATATGTAAGTACCCGTTTACTCTCCAACTTGCTTTGTTTCATTAATATACCCCATCTATCCCTTTACTGAAGAGCCTCATGGCATAATGGTTACACGTTGAACTACTAACCACAAAGTCAGCAGTTCGAAACCACTAGCTGCTCAGTGGGAGAAAGATGGGCTTTTCTACTTCCATAAAGAGGTGCAGTCTCATAAACCCACAGGGACAGTTCTCTGCTGTCCTATAGGGTCACTGTGAGTCGCATTGACCCGATGGCAATGAGTTTGGTGTAGTAATCGCTACGAAGCCCTGCCCCTGTCTCCTGCTGTTTTGATTATTGGGCACACGGTGCTCTCTGTCCTGTTTCCGCACTTAAACAATGTCCCCACCCACGTAATAATGACTACTGTAATGACCACATGCTCGCTCTTGTTTTTACACCCTGGTTTAGAGCATAGTCCACGAGACATCATCAGCGTCTGCATTATTTTTTTGCTTTGGCAGAATCATCTCTTGAGAATTCCTTTCTGGGGCCCGCAAGGCTGGGTCCAAGGGTGTAATAAAGCATTTCTAATTCTGTGATCCTTCATATTGATCTCATGAAGAATGTGCTTTTTCTTAACACCTAAATGACACTGAGGATGGGTGGCGTGGGCAAGCGTGCCGAGAAAGCTGCGTTGGGGGGTGACGGAGCGGTGTTGTGCCTTTCTCTTCTCAGCACCACCAGCTCCACAGCCAGCAGCTGTGACACGGAGTTCACCAAGGAAGACGAGCAGAGGCTGAAGGATTACATCCAGCAGCTCAAGAACGACCGGGCTGCCGTCAAGCTGACCATGCTGGAGCTGGAGAGCATCCACATCGACCCCCTCAGCTACGACGTCAAGCCTCGTGGCGACAGCCAGAGGCTGGACCTGGAGAACGCCGTGCTGATGCAGGAGCTCATGGCCATGAAGGTAGGCTTTGAGGTGGGGTCCCACCTGTGCCCACCCACTAGACTGTCCTTAGAAGGAAACAGAAATGGCCCGCCGAAAGCAGGGCAAGCCAGTGCCCAGGGTCAGTCGCCAGCCCCACCCATGCCGAGCTTTCTCTCCCCAGAGAACCAGAGCCCCAAGGGGAGAAGGGGCCAGTCTCCACGTGTCTGGGAGCTGAGCTCCCGAGTCCGCCTCAGTTGGCATTGCTATGAATCATCCAGTCCAGACGCGGACAGGATGGAGCGCTGTTTGTGGGGGGCTGCTGCAAAAGGCAGACCTTTGAAGAACCGGCAGGCAGTTATTTTATCCCAGTTCAGGAGGCTGGAAGTCCAAATTCAGAGTGTGGCTCTTTTTCTGTCTCAGCTTCTGGTGTGGGGCAATTCTTGGAGCTCCTGGCCTTGTCAGTCCATCTGCCTGCATTCTCGTAAGATAGCATCTGTCCTCTGGGGGGGGGGGGTGTCTCTTTCTGCATCTAATTGGTTCTTTTTATAACTCAGTAGTGATTAGGTTTAGAACACGCCATACATTGCTATGGCCTCATTAACATGACAAAGAAAACACGGTTCCCAGATGGGGTGGCATCCGTATGGAATGGATTTGGATTCCAACACATTTGACAAGGGTGTGGAGGAGGGTCATTGAATTCATAACAGCTGGGAATAGCCCTCTGTCCATCTCCAATGACCCCCAATCTGAAGGGGGCGTACAGGTACTCCGTGGCACGCTGCCTGGCAGCAGGAGGAGACTTTGGATGAGATCTCTGGTTTCCCGGCAGCCTCGCCCCTCTGGTACCGCATTCAGGCTGCACAAATTACACTGCCCTCCCTGTGAACGTGCACCAGGGTTGTTCCCATCACTGTGTCCGGATAACATCTCAGGCTGCGGCGGAGCTATCTGCTGGTGCCTCTGAAGCAGGGAGGCTCGCTGGAAAGGCTGCGCCCCTCACTGGGAAGCATGTAAACTCCCATCTCTTCCAGCAGGCCGCTCGTCTGGTTGTGGCCAGAGAGCCAGGCACTAGGCCTGCACTTTCAGCTTCTTCTCAGGAGATAGCCCTTCGGAACATGGTCCTGTCCAGGGGGCAGCCCCCAGGGCACTCCCTACAGGCCCATTGGGTTCGGCAGGGAGCAGGGGGTGAAGGGGAGACAGGAACCACGTTGCCAAGTCTACTTTCTAAATGCCAGGCTCAAGTGAGTGAGGGCCCAATTTGCGCATGCTTGGGACCTGTAACGTGGGGGAGAGGGGCTCCAAGTGGAGGGTAGAGAAGTCCCTGTCTGTATCTGCACTGGAGGCCAGCAGCAGGCCAGGGTGTGTCACGAGATGCTAAGCTGTTGGGACCTGTCTGTGCTGAGGACAACGCACCACAGCTCGAGCTGTGATGTAATGCAAACCCCCATCTAGTTGTCCCACCCTTGGGGAGGGGAGAGGTCGTGGTGAGCTTGCTCAGTGGTGAGAGACGAAGGCACTTCCAAGCTTGCTTGTCTCAGGCCGGCCCCTCAGCGCAGACCTTGCCCTCTGCTTCCTCTGGGGAATCTTCACACCACTTGGCTAGTTTTCCCCTCACGGCCCAGGAGGCGGGCCTCGGCTGTAGCTGCAGTGACCTTTTCTCTGGCCAGGCCCCCTTGGCAGACCCTTGCACCCTGGGGTGTGAGTCATGAGGCTGCACCTTCATAATTCATTCCCATCATCATGTTTGCTCTGGCCCAGGACTGAGAATTTCCTTTTTGATATTCAGGCAAATGCGTAAGACATTTTCTGTTATTCTGGCCAAGAAAGACATTTTTTGGTTGAAACCACAGCTCTAGTATTCCCTTTGCCACTTAAAAATGAAATGTGTACCCATCTTAGACATTTTCTAGCAGACTTGAAGGTTTAAAACCTGCGAGGGAAATTGCCCGTAGTGTTTAGTTCAGGGGCACCATCGCCAGCATTCTGGCTTAATTTTCTTATTAATTGTCTGAGAGATAAGCATCAGAGTCATGCCACTTGCCGTGGCCCCTGTGAGACCTGTTACATGGCACATGGTGCTGGGTGTCACCAGCTTGTCCCAGGGGGCAACGCCGAGAAGCTCACCTCTCTGGCCCTGGTGTTGGCGTGTTGCTCCTCTCCTTTCATTTCTCGGCGATCTCCTTGGTTCCCTTCCAATGCACCTTTAAAAAAATAATAATAATAAATCATTTTATTGGGAGCTCTTACAGCTCTTATAATAATCCACACATCAATTGTATATGAAGCACATTTGTACATATGTTGCCATCATCATTTCCAAAACATTTTCTTTCTACTTGAGCCCTTGGTATTAGCTCCTCTTTTTTCCCCTCTATCCCCCACCCTTCCACCCTGGTGAACTCTTGATAATTTATAAATTATTTTTATTTTCATAGTTTACACCATCCACTGTCTACCATCACTAAGGTGACCAGATTTTAACATTGGTAAAGTGGGACAAAAGCAGGACACCATTGACAAAACTCATATCCTGGCGAAATAGCCACATGGCAGCCGAAAACCGTATACCCTAGTTTGTCGTGCATTCTTTCCAAAAATCGGGACCTTTTTAAAAACGCCGCAGGATGCGTGAAAAATTGTTAAAAATCGGGACTGTCCTGCCAAAAGCGAGACATCTGGTCACCTTACCCATCATCCATGTTTCTGTTGTTCATCTCCAGTGGGGCAGAAGGGGAGGGGCATTGTACATCGATCCCTGTGAGCAGTTCCCGCGTCTCCCCCCAATTCCCTCTACCCTCATACCACCCTTCTTTTTGAGTGCTCTAAGCCTTTCACTGTGGCGTGTGCTCCTTTCCCCCTGTAAGTGTTCATAGTTTTTCACATTTTGTTGTTTCTGGTTTTTTTATTTTTTCAACACAAGAGATTTATTTTCGGCTCAAATACCTGTGCATAGCAGGTTGGAGAAGGGTCCCTAGAACAGTACAGACTCTGCTATCTACACCATAGGGCCTTCAAAGTGACCCGGAGCTTCACCGGCCCAGCCAGCCAGTGGAGGAAGAATAAGAAATGTTGAGGCTCATCTTGTCTGCTCACATTTTAGAGGGCTGACACAGTGTTGTGACCACACAGAAGAACCTGGGAAATGTTGCTGAGCAACGCCTATTTCTGGTTCTTATAAAGTCCTCTCCCTCTGCTTTCATCAGCTAGTTCTACAGCAAGGCAGTCCTTTCATTTCCTCTTAAAGAGTTAGAGCGTACGTGTATGTTTGTGTGTGTAGGGGGGGTGTGCAGGGTGGGCAGGCAAGAGAAGAACATGCACTCTAGAGTCCTCAAAGGATCCTCTTTTCCACGGGAGTCTGGGAGCCCTGGGTTGCAGGCGTCCCTACAGAGTGGCTCTGTGCTTCTGTCCCGTGGGGCCCCATGGGCGGCAGAGGCTCGGACTCCTGTGTGTTGTGGACCACGCCTTCACATGCCACAAGATGGAAATTCTGATTCCTCCAAGAAAGGACTTTGCCTTCTTTCCCCACCCGGAGCCTGGAAGGTGACAAGTGTTGTTGCCTCACCTGGCCTCTATTCCAGGCAGTGTGGGGGCCTCAGCTCCAGAGCCGCCTCCCCAAAGCCCGACCTCTGTTGGCTAGCGCTGCTTCCACCTCGCCCGTCCCCTCTGGCTGGGTCCCCTCTTCAGTTCTGGCATCTGCAGACTCCTCGCCCCTTCTTTCAAGCGTGCATTGACGCTGGTTCACGGGGTGACTCGATCCCCATGAGTTCAGTGTGTAGTGTTGCCAGAACTTGCTACCAGTAGCAAAAGGTGAGACAGACGGCTGCTCTTTGTGTACAGCAACACCTTCCGGTCTGGTCGGGTGAGTCATCTTTTTTTTT